CTGCTAGAGACAGAAATCATTACCCCAGCATTGCTATAATAAATAGATTTGCCTTTTTACATTTTATCATTTCATAGCAAAAAGTACATGACTCATTTAAAATTAAATACTGTATTTAATTAGTGCAAATGAAGTTTAGCAACTCATTCTTACTCATGTTAATTCACAGGTTATCATCAATTAGATATCACTTCACTGCAGCTCATGTAAGTCCTTTATTAACATCATGTCCCACACTGACATACATTACTAAAGGGCAGAAGGACTTCCAGAGCAATTTTACATCTTAATGGGATTTAAAATGTCACAATACAGCACAAATGTAAGCAGCAGGTTATTTAACAGCATGTACACACCAATCTAGCAAGCTAAGATTTATCCGGGTATACCCATATAATAAAAATGTTGAGTACTTCTTGCTTATTAAAAGTGCACCTTTTTCGGTGAAAATTAATTTTTATAATGCCCATAAATTTGTGATAAATATATCACAATGTATCACAAAATCTTCAACTGTGAAAGACTATAAAAAATTTGAGCAAACTGTTTCAACACCACCTTGCTCTCTCCAGCACCTACTTATCTAATGTGAAACATTCCCCATGGAAAGAACAAAGCTATCACAACATTAAAAACAACTCTTCTTAAAAGGACTGGTCAGTCAGATGGGCAAAACAAACACATCATTTGCTCTAATTCATCACTCTGATTCAAACTGCTGACTTCTGAGATACGACTAAAAGTTGGTCCACTAAACAGTTAAGCCTCATTATGAAAAGCTGTTTATACCACACAGCTTTAACACTTCTAAGAATGTCATACCCATACACTACAGAGCTTTACTGGATTTTTATTTATTCAATGACATTGTGCCACTTTTACTCACAGTGAGTAGAATCTTGTTCATTACACTTATGGCATCAAGGTTTGCCCTGAATGCAACACCAGTTAACCCCAAGTAATACTGACAGAACTAGGATTGAAAGTACTGCTTTAATTTTGCCATCTGCTGCATGCCTGTTAAAAATAATTAAAATCTGTAAGAGAATTGCCTATAGACTGATAGAATTCATTGAAAACAAAAATCCACAATGATCCTTGAGTGTGAAATACACTTTAACAATTTAATATAAAAGTTGAAGTTTGAATAAACACTAATTTGGATTTTTTGAAAGAGATATATATCAAATCAGAGCTTCAACACTCCATTTCAGAGGCTGACATGGAAAAAAACCCCCAAAATATTTACAAGTACTTCCCCAGAAACACATTTCCCTAAGATTCACTGATATCAAAGACCCATACTTACGGTTTTGAGAATTTATGATGAGATGGCAGAACCAGACAACAGAATAACTGAAAACAAAGATTAAAACCAGCAACTCTACATATAGTCACAGAAAAGACAACATTCCTAAGTGTTTGGCATTGAATGCTTTTGTTTGTTTGGTGGTGGTTTCTTTTCAGAAAGCAAGAAGAAATGTAGTATAAAAATCCCAAACACTTCTTATGCACAAAAACAGCAGCTTAAGTCCTGAAGCATGCATAACAGGGTAAATTTGGAATAATGTAATATTCAAGGTGAGTATACAGTATCAGAATTAAGTCCAGTTAAAAGTTATTTGCAATATACCTGATCCAATACAAAACTTGAAGATCTGCAGCAGCAATTTTTCGTATCGATTCATGGAACATGCCATCGAAAACCAGCACGGACTGATCACGGAACTGAAGGCCCACAGGACCAACAGTCCGAGATGGATCTCAGATTCCCATATGGCATCAGTGAAAAGGAAATAAGATCAGCTTTTGAATTTCAAAACAGATGTACTTCAATAGTGAAAAAACAAAGTATAAATATGTACTTAAAGAACAAAAAATGCTGCTAAAATTACTTTTTGTTTAAGGCTCAGATTGATGACTAAAGCATCTTATTTTCTTGGAAAAGTCTTCCAGTTCTATTTTCATTGGCAAGGAGTTTTTAAAACATTTACGTCAGGGTAGAAAACTACGCTCTCACAACAACTTTCAAACCAGACCTTGCGCTAAGTTCATTTGTGTTATTTTATATATTCATTTATCCACATTGCGAGAAAAGTTTCCTGTATCATTTATTTACATTATTTAAAACCATCAGCAAGAGTGTAAGACTAACTGCTATATCTGCGTTACATGTATTTGTACATTTAAACAAATAACTATATTTTATCAAACAGTAACTGTTTCATCAAACAGTAAGATAGACTAGGAATAGGATAAAATATCCCTGTGCCCTAAAGCAAATATACCACCTGGACACAAGCATTAGCTCCCAGTTCTGCAGGTTTCGCTTCATAATACACAGAAAAAAGTAAACTGATTAGCTGCAGGGATTTATAAAGTTTGGGTTTTCTTCCCTTTCCCTTCTCTCTCTCACTTCAATGGCATTTCTGCTTCTGTAGTTCCTGCTTTAACAGACACATACACTTCTAAGTCTTTCCATCAATACACTGAATATCTCTTCTTAGCATGGCACCGTCACTCACCCTGGCTCACAGGTGAAGTGCTCACTGGCTGCCAGCATTGTTATGATGTGTTTGGCTTACAAGGGTATGAAAGAATAACAGTATCATTCAACAAAGGAGTTTGGCAACCTCTTTATACAGAAAGGTGGAGTACTATTGGAATATACTAGCATTAAGTTGCATTTTGATCATTTATATTTTAGTTCCAGTATATCAATCCCTTCTTTAAATAAAATTATGACTGTCATCATTTACTGCTAAGATCCCTTTTTAGATCCCATTAAGGCTAATTCCAAACAAAACAGAATGGAATTATTTAGTACAAAAAGTCTCCATTATTTATCCCTTTCACGAATCATTTAAAGACTTCATGTCAGCAACTGAAAACATTCATGTTGATCTCACAAAGAGTAGACAATATATTATGCATGCTGCCCACTGATTTATCCTTCCAGAAAGTCTCTTGCAGGCCACTTGCCAATACTGTCACTTGCTGTCTAAAATATAAATAGAAGTGCTTCTAGAATATATATATATAAACAAATAATAATTGCCTAAGGTTCAAATCAGCAGGCCGTTAAAACCCACATCCTGTGTGGTATCAGCTGGTACCAGACAGCTTCAGAGAAATGTATTTTTGAGTGGACTGCTCTGAAGCAGTACATCCACTACTGAAGAGTCTTCCTATATTCTTTCTTAGGCTGGATTATCTATGGAAGTATTTGGCTTTCATCATATTTAAAACAGAATACCATCCCACACATACACACACATACATTGTCCATGCAAATAGCAATTCACTTTTAAAAAAATCTGATCTGGTTTTCAGTCAGAATAATTTTGTAGCAAAAAGCATTACAACACTGCCTTTTCAGGAGGCCAAGGATGAACTGCACATCACATAACTTCCATGAGACACTGCAATAGGTTGCCCAGACAAGTTGTGGCTGCCCCATCATTGGAAGTTTTCAAGGTTACAGTTTTGAGCAACTAGTGCAAGATGTCCTTGCTGGGGGAAGCTGGACTAGATGACCTCTAAAGACCCTTACAACCCAAATCATTCTAGGATTCTGAAGTCTATGAGTGGCCAGTCTAAGTCTATCACTAGCAAGGTTTGCCTACAGAGAGCAGTTAAGCATCTGAAGATCAGAACTCCTCGGGTTCGGTTCTAGGACAAATTCGTATTTCAAGAAGGCAACTTCATATGTAGAAGCAACGTCAGCAAGTTCCACATGATTATCCACGTGTGAAATATTTATGAACAAGCACTTACAGAATCAGCATCTTAGCATTTACAAAAAGAGTCATTTTTGCCTCCATTTCTTCACAAACACTGGAAAAGATGGGATGAATTTTAAATTGTTCTAAAGGCAATTTTTTTGCCACTGTAATAACCCCACTGAAATAATGACCCGTTATTTTCCAATGAATAGTGCAACTCTTTTGTTAGACAATTATCAGGAAAAGCCTAAAAAAGCTCCACCCAAAACAAAATTCAACTAAATGAAAACTCTCCAACAGCAACAGCTTGTACTGTGCTATTTAACTGGCTTTACTCCAGTAGTTTAAATTTAAGAGTCAGCTTAAAGTAGAAATGAAGTAAGTGAAAACTGGGGAAAAAAATTCCACACCTACAGCTGCCACCTAAAATTAAACACATTTCTCTCCAAATCCCAAGTGTGCTTTCGAAAAGGTGTCATGTGATCATATTTAGCTACCGCACTGTAATTAAGAACATTTCATCCACAACGGATAAACTAAATTCTTTCACTGAAACGTTAAAAAATTAACAAAGCTGAAAACCAGGTGTAATTACTTACAACTCTCTAATCAGTAACTATTTCATTTTAAGTGCAACCTATAACTCTGGAATATTTTTTTTTTTGCCCCTGGTATAATGTGCAACATGGACAAAAAGAAATAAACTACACATACTTTGGAGGGGGAAAAACCCCACCCTAAAATAGACTGACGGGTGTTAGACAGAATAATTCTGTGTAGAGAGATGTGTGCTGTTGGAATAGTACCAAGAAGATGACTTGTGCAAAACAGTAGGTGATCTTAAACATCCCCAAGGAGATTGATTAAACAGCTCCAAAACAGTTTAAAATGTTTGTCATTTTACTGAGTTATGCAGCAAACATGACAGCAATATTCCCTGTCTGTGGCAATTTTGGGTTTTTTCAAACAACTAAGTCAATTTTTAAACTTGTTACAGCACATAAATTTTAAGGAACCAAAAACATTTTAACAAAAAAAAGTAGTTACAAAGTAGTATAATGTCACATGCCATTCCCCATTAGAGACGTCCTGTGTTAATTAAATGTACTTATTTCAACAATCACGATGAGGCATTAAGATTAGACAACTGGACAGTATTCTGGAAAGTGTACTTATATTGTTATTTGTATTAACATAGTTACAGAAAGGGATAAAATATTTCTACATAAGTAAAATAAAGAGTATGCAAGAAATTAAACAATAAAATGTACTTACAAAATCAAAGTCTCCATCTTGAGGGACCTTCCAGTTATCAGGGAAAACATTTTTGGATATGTGGTAAGGTTCATGCATGTTCTGATTACAGTTTTCAGGGCTTTTATTCTTGGAATCTTGTTTATCAAAGTAGTCCATGAAAGAAGGTCTTTGAACTTGCGGTGAAGTAGCATTTCCTTAGTTGAAAGAAAAAAGTAAAAACTATTTAAAGATTTAATGCAGTATAAAATAAGCTTCACTCATTAATTTTCTTGGATTTTGTAGAAACTGATACAGTCATCTGTATGTGATGCAAGCCTCTGTTTGTCCCCTGAGGATCTTTGGCATAAAAGCTCATAGCCGAAGAATGATATTTTTGTAGCAAGATACAACGTGGAGAAATGTTCAAGACATTTCAGAGTTGCACACGCACATAATATTAGAAGTTACTTCATGCAATATCTATTTGTTGTTATAGAGACTGAATAACACAAGGTGCTAAGCATCCCCTTGGGTGCAGAACGCCCCTATCTTCAAGGCCTAGTCCACAGGCACTTTAAGAAAAGGATCAGAGTTTCACCAAAGGTGTGATTTACAAATTATTTAGAAAAAGAACTTCAAAAAACAACCACACAAATCATGTCTAGATGCTGCTTAATTAAATTCATTGCCAATGAAGGTTCTCGGAAAATTATGGGGTCATACTCTACAGATGGTTGCAAAGCACCCTGTCTCCATGGTGTGGAAACTCCGGGGGATTTTCGTCATCATCTAGGTAGCTACAAAGGCTTTACAGAGCAAACTAAGATCAGCATGAACTCCTGTTCTATTATTCTTTTTATGAAATTAAAAGTAGGAAAAAAATTATCTTCAATCCTAAAGGACTGAAATTTGTTTTCATTTGTGAGATTTCAAAGTAAATTAATCACTAAATAGCACAATAAATAAACATAACTGTCCCCTCACAGACCATATTCTGCATAGCATTGACACATGAAAAGCGTACTTGCTTGCAGCATAACACATTCTACATAGAGAAATATGAAATACATTTTCACAAACAAAATATTAAACAGGATGAAAGATATAAAAAACTATGGCGGGGGGGGAATCTAACACCAAAACCCAGACAAAAATACACTTTTAAATTACAAGCATAATAAAGTAATAGGAATTTTTTTTTATCTACTTGTTTTAACAAGTGAAAAGGTGAACCACTAGAAATATCTTTTGAGTTTGTGTTTAACATGATCACTAGGACTTGCTAATCTCCTTATCTGGCTTTACACTTGCTTTTATTCATTCATTAAGTGGGTTTTTTCCCCCTCCACCTCTTATTTCATCGTCTCTTCCCATTCCCTTTGTCTAAAGATTTTTTCATTCTGATTCTGCCGCATGACTTTCTTTTCATTAATGTTTATTTTTGTACTGCCATCTTTTCACAGAGTCATCAAGGTTGCAATAGACCTTCAAGATCATCTTGTCCAATTGTTGACCTAGTACCACCATAATCACCACAAAACCATATCCCCAAGTGCCACATACAGACTCCTTCTGGCTTTTTTAATGTGCTCTTCTACTGCCTCACTCTAGGCTTTACCACATTTGACTCCAGCTGCTTTTCTTCAGCTACACAACAGTTCCTCATTCAATCTGCCATGTTTCCGTACATGCCTTCTCCTCCTCACATTTTTAGCTAATTTTTCTCTCAGTTTTTGCCATGTTCTTTTCAAATATTGCTTCTAATCCCAGTTTATAGCTATCGCTACTCATCATCTTTTAATTAATAATAACCATGGCCATAACAATTCAGTGAACTAAACTCCAGGCTGAATTTAACAGACCAGATAGCAGATACATCTTCTTCAGAATCTCCCAAGTTTGCCCCCACTGAATGCAAGATCACCTGAAGGTTTCTTGACCTCTTGAGTCTGGGACTGAGAAAGGGATGAGAAGTAAGCAGCGGGAATGCCAAATACAGAAAAAAGCACTAAAGGGCAAAAATCACAGAGTCATAGAATGGTTTGGGTTGAAGGGGGCCTTTAGAAACCATCTAATTCTAACCCCCCTGTCATGGGCAGGGACACCTTCCACTAGACCAGGTGCTCAAAGTCCCATCCAAACTGGCCCTAAATACTTCCAGTGCTGGGGCATCCACAGCTTCTCTGGGCAACCTGTTCCAGCATCTCAGCAGCCCCATAACAAAAAATTTTTTCCCAATATCTAATCTAAACCTGCCCTCTTTCAGTTTAAAGCCATCACTCTCACTAGAGACCATTGTCAAATGTTCCTCTCCAGCTCTCTTGTAGGTTCCTTTTAGGCACTGCATGGTGCTGTAAGATCTCCCCAGAGCATTCTCATCTCCAAGCTGAACCACCCCAACTCTCTCAGCCAGTTTTCATATCAGAGGTGCTCCATCTGTCTAATAATTTTCACAGTCCTCCCCTGGATTCGCTCCAACAAGTCCATGTCCATCTTTTTTTGGGGGCCCCAGGGTTGAACACAGTATTATGAGTGAGGTCTCCTGACAGCTCAGTAGAGGGTAAGAAAAATGGAAGAATCTAAATTTTAGAAAAGCACACATTTAGAAAACAGATCCAAGAAAAAACAGTAGTATGAAGGAGGTGGAATTAAAAACAGAAATACAATGCATTTTCTTAGTACAAACTTTTCATTACTTGATCGCTGCCCAAAACCCCTGAAACTATTTTTACCAAAAAGATAGGACACCACATTGCTAGCCTTTCACAATCAATTTTTTTCTCCTGCTGAGATGGTTGTACTTACATTTCATCCCTGAGACATACTTATAAACAAAAAGATTACCAGTGTCTCAGTTCAAAACTCTAAGTACCAAAATGTTGGCACATTACAGGTAGGACAGTCTCCCTCCTCTCCTGTAACAGAAAATACTAAAGATTTTCCAAGCACTGCTTCTACAATTTAAAACTATTTATGAATATCTCCCTTAGAAAAGTAATAGAAGACTGTCTACATACATAAAACAAACCAAGCCCTGCAAATTCCTTGCTACTAAATGCATATTATGGAAAGTGGGTCAACAGGACCAAAATGACTCCAAAATAAGAAAAGCAGATTTATTTTACACTTTGAGGATTTGTTTTATTTGTTTTGGTAAATAAGAATTCAGAATTTTCTTCTGATTTCTATTTAGCATACAGTTAGTTAACCCATTTAAAAGAACAAGAGCTGCTTACCTTCACTGCAAATATAAAAACGCTCACACAAAAAACCAGAAATATGACTGCAAAACAATGGGACCAGAGGTATTTCAAGGTTTGTGTGGGGCTTTTTCTCCAATGTAAAAGAAAATATAAAGGATTTATTTAAAGATGGCTTTATTTTACTTTTATAACTAATTAAATGAAAAAAGAGACACTTTTTAGATCTCTAGCTAACCTAACATTAACAAATTTAGTTAGCATTTCATGGGAAATGGGATAGGTTGACACCACTTTAAAGTGTAAAAGTTCCTATCTCTTTTATATTTACTTTGTAAAAACTCAGGCTCTTTATGGCAGAGCAAACTGAAGCAGGTTGCACTTCTCTTTGCAAAATATAAAGTCATTAGAAGATCATTTTGGTCTGAAAATACTTTTTCTAACTTTCATGAACAGAGTAATGTCATTTTCTCAACTGTCTTTCAAGAGCAAATAAAATTAGAAGTACAATACATAAAGATTCCTTTAAGGACACTTAATTCACTCATCTATCCAGTAAGTTACTTTTTACACAAAAAATTACTTATTTGCCACAAAAAATCTGCAGCACACCCAGTCTCACTCCGCACTTGCACTAAAAACCTATTGTTTTATTGTGCAACAGCCTGCTCCATTCTAGGAGGATTTGGATTTTTCCGTTCTTCTAATTATTCTTTACTTTCAACAAGTTATCACAGAATTACAGAATATGCTGAGTTGGAAGGGACCCACAAGGATCATCAAGTCCAACTCCTGGCCCTGCACAGGACCATCCCCAAGAGTCACACCATGTGCCTGAGAGTGTTGTCCAAACACTTCTTGTACTCTGTCAGGCTTGGTGCTGTGACCACTGCCCTGGGGAGCCTGTTCCAGTGCCCAAATACCCTCTGGATGAAGAACCTTTTCCTAATACTGAACCTAAAACCTCCCCTGACACAACTTCAGGCCATTCCCTTGAGTTCTGTCACTGGTCACCACAGAGAAGAGATCAGTGCCTGCCCCTCCTCTTTCCCTCATGATGAAGTTGTAGAAGATCATGTTTAAAAATGTTTGTCGAAGTTTCAATGTTTAAGAATATCTGTCTCTTATCATCCCTACACTCACCTACTGCAGGACTTCAAGACGGCTTTGGGGAGAAAATAATAAGAAAACAGCAGTCAGAAATTGCTGGTAAGCCATGGGACACAGAGACTGCCAGGAATGCTGAAAATACATACTGTACCTCAGCAATACCCCCGATAGGAATACAGGCAATAGCAATGTCCCCAAAGAGTTACATAAGTAAGTTTCTTCCAAAAAGTACGCTCAGTAAAATGAATGAGGCAACAACAAAACATAACACAACACCAACTCTACTACACTGTTTCAAAAACATATCACAACTAAAATAAATTCGAAAAACTAAAATAAATTCGAAATACACCTTTCAAAATAAGGAGGAATATACATGCCATTCTAATGTATGTTTTAATAAAATTCAGTTGATGTCATCTATAAAGAAAAATGATTTTTCAGTGATGTATTTCCAACAGGAAAGTATTATATTAGTATTAAATTGATTTTAAACCAGTTTAAAAGTTCTGCTGCTAGTTAGCAAGTAAGGTCAGCAGACGAGGGTGTTCATCTCCTACAGATGGGAGTCTCCCACTACAATTTCCTGGGAGGGCACAGGTGGTGATATTTTGTATGTTTGGCATTTTGGATTGGGGGCTTTACAACTTCCTACAGGAAATCTCTGAATCTTTCTCTCATTCCGTTACTACCAGGGCACTGGACCTCTTTTGCAGCTGCATATCTACAGAGGAAAGCTTTCTTCCCTTTGCCAAAAGCCACGAGCTTCCACAACTTTCCCCATCCTGGGGATCTCCATCCACCACTCAACTGAGGAACATTTCCAGCTGCTGCCTCTTCAGTCAAGTTAAGGATCAGGCTCTCCTATGTGAAGTGCTTCTGTGAACATTCTGTCACTATCTTTA